TCACTCAAAAGTATTCCCACAATTCCCAGCTTTCTGTGTGGAAAGTTTTGTGCACGCGCACATTCGAAGCGACCGCCCAGAAAGCCGTCAAATAATTGTGAGTATCTTAGTAAACATAGTTGTTAATGTCTTCAGTGAACGTGAACAGTTGAGAAAGTAAATGCATGTGTACACACAGTATATTAGATCTGTGCATTCACTCTTAAAGTGACAGTAGCCTAATATTCCTGCTGCTATCTGTTTTTAAAGTTAACCCCCTGAGCCCGACGGCGTCGTCGACGATGCCACACGTCACCTCCGATAAATGTTTACATAACTCGATGACAGATTTATCGATTTTCTTACCGTTTTTTCCAGCAGAAAGCTAACGAGCTAGCCATCACGGGGGTGTCTTTCGGGTCTTTCTAGCCTTTACAGAAGGTTTTCTATCCAGCCTGGAACTTGTGCTTCCTTTCAGAGGTTTTCAGCAATAAATCCAAACGCTTTATGTCAAACTTTGATAATCTTGAAGCCCATAATTCATAAATATTCGGTCATTTTTGCCGCTAGCTCGATGCTAGCGGACATCCTGGATATCACGTGATGTTTTCACGTGATGGTTTTTGACCAATTACAGGCTGATCCGTTGTAAACATTGGTGTGCGTCATTACGCATGAACCAAGCGCTGATATAGTGTAGAGAGATAGAGAGACTCACGGAGACGCGCGATTCACAGAGAAACACAGCGAAATGGACGTAAATAAAGCGCTGGTCTATTTTGGTGCATTGCAGGATGAAGGATTTTCAGGAGAACAGAGCTTTTTGACAGATGAGGAACTAGATTACCAGGATAGACCCAGCTGAAGTGCCATTTATTTATTTACTGTAAAAAAGTATTATAGTAGTATAAATGTATTATAAAAGAATAAAAAGAACATAATAAATAAAAGAATAAATAAAATAGAAATGCAAAACCTGTGATGTGGCCCTCTGTGTGATTGCTGATAGGAACTGTTTTGAGGCTTGGCACCAGTGAATTTCATGAGGCCCCAAACGCCTGGACTTCTTTTGGAAAAATGTCAATATTTTTTGTTCTGTACAAGTTATAATGTTTATTCCTGTGCTCCAGGACTCCAAAGACATGAACAAACTATTTTCCAGAGGAAAATTGCTTAGCTTTTATTTATTTGTGTGTGATTTCAATAAATAATTGAGTGATTCCATTTCCGATTTATTTTTTCATTTGTCTTTATGGTCCCATAACTTATTTTACATTCAGGTGACATCAATGTAACACAAATATGCTGAAAGTTCAATTTGTCCTGAAAAAAAAGAGGTGTGTCAATTGTCTGTGCACCAAAGGGTTGATATTTTACAAGCTTTTTTAGTAAATGACACCAGACGGAAAATTTATTGTAAAAATACCCTTAGGTCTCAGAGGGTTAAACCAACAAAAGACAAAGAAAAAAATCACTCACTGCTCTTGACTGACTTTTGTAACTTTAATAAGGAAGTTTTAAATGTATATAGTTAGTCTAGTTCTAGCTGTGGTTTCAAAATTGGAGAAGAGAATTGTGAATGTTAACTGGTATCTAAAATTTTGGGGTCCTTACTGCCTGTTTTTGCAAAAACAAGGCCAGTTAAAAAACAAGGTTCCCTTGTTTTAACTAAATTCTGCACACAATATAATAATTTGTTCCCTTGTTTTACTAAATCAAGTCAGAGGAAATGGAGAATGAATAAATTCAAAGTTTACCAAAACGAAGAAACAAGTTGTGGGAACAAATTCCAAATTAGTGGCCACAATATATTTTTCCCGCCTGCCATGTGCGGGGCTCCGTATTTCAGTTTGTTGCCAAGGCAACATTTCTCAATTGCAGTTAGCCTAATCTTAAAACTTGTCACCATTCAGTTCAGATTAAATTTGTTATAGACTTTCAGTTTGTCTTCGATTATTACGTCTTTGTTCAGATTCCCGCCACTCATCGCTCTCCTTGGTTACAGTCATTATTATTTCATCAGTGTCAGCTGTGTTCTATTAATTATCCTCAATTTTGTTTGCTTCATGAGCTCACATTCACATTCATTCTCTGTCTCTACGTTACCTTTAGAGTGCGTTGTCCTGCCCAGCCTGTCTGTGTTATTTATATTACCCTCATTACACTTCATATTGGAACTTTATTCATCATCTTCGCCTGCCTTCCAGCTATCACCTAATTAAAAAAAACGTTGAAATGACAAACACAATAAAATTACTAAACAGAATTACAAAATATAGATTATGCAAGTGTGGTCTGCCTACTGTGGTTCAGAATGACTAAGCGTTATTATCATACTTATGGTATAAAACTGTACATTTCTTGTCAATTACCATTTACCACCCACTACTACTTCTACCAATGACAGAAATAAGCACAGTTATCATAGCAGAATATGTGAGAGCATATTATAGTAGAGCGATTATAGTGCAAATGTTAATATAAGGTTATTGAGAAGGTTTAATAACAGTATTTGTTTTTTTACTATTTGGTTACAAATTAGATGTACTGTATAAATTGTCTTAGTACGTGCAATTGTGCAAAATCGTACATATTTGACGAATTGGCCAATTCGTATGAATTCGTACAAATATCCTACCCCTGACCCTGCCCCTAAACCTACCCATCACTTTTTTTTTTATTATTATTATTCAAAAATTGCTTTAACCTACCCATCACTTGGGTTTAGACAAATCGTACGAATTACGAGTGAGGTCGTATGAATTAGTACGAATTAGTCACTTTTTAATCATTCGTATGAATTCGTACGAATTGGTCGTGAGATGGGGTAGATAAAACACAGTTCATTGAACCCAGTAGGACGTTACCAGAGAGAGAGAGACAGAAAGTGAAAGTACAAAGAAAGTGATATGTGAAGGCCAAGTTTAACCAGTGGAATCTGAACAAATCTAAGTTTGAGAAAAACATAGCTAATCTAAGCCACTAAGAAAAATAGTGGCAAAAATGGCATTTTACACTTTGAGATAGCTGCACTCTACCCTCCTCCTCCCTGTTTAAGACACAGCATCCATTTCTTAACCCAAATACAGTTCACAAGGGAAGCTTCTGTTGAAGGCAGATGAAAGCATATATATTTTTCTATAAGACCCAAAATAGTAGTACACATCTTCTTGTGCCTGGTCCATCCATGTTCCCGTTGGCCTGGATGAATGACATTTTGAATGGTACAAAAGGTAAAGCTAAAAAGGCTAAGACAGAAAAGAGCATGCTATACATATATAGTTTAGTTGAACATCACTGAAATTACTTTCAAAACACTGGTTTAACATCCATTACTTGAGACCCGTAGCTCTTAAAAGGCTTAATTTATCTTCAATATCTTGTACAACACCAGAGGCTTTTGCTCAGTATTTGAATCTTCTAGATTTGTTTATGGTGTCTGTGTGCAATGTGGCAAGGCGAGCTCATCAACTGTGGTTAATAAGTTGTGACACGTATCGTGAGAATACGGTTGGTGGGCTGAAGAATTAGCTTCTCGCTATAGTCTCACGGTCATGAACCCAAATGATGCTCAAGCCAAACAGCGTTGCAAAAAGCTTCCCAACAGTCTAATGATGTTCAAACCTAAGACTGTGTAACAGTGATATTTTCATTTTAGGCAGACTGTCTGAACTACTGCATTTACATGACACTCATACAGTAATAACCAGAATTCAATACTGGTGTCAAAAAGTCTGAGACTACATCGAGAATCTGGGATTTTAAACATTGAGTGTGTAAAAGTCCACTAAAAGTCACTAATCAAATAATATCTGATCATGTGACTATTTTGTACAGATGGACAAAGGTTCTTGCTTTCATTGGAGTTTGAGATGTTCTTTGGACCATCTCAAGTCATGTAGGAGAACATGATCAACAGGTTTAACACAGACTTATGGAGTTCATGCCGTTTAAATGCTGCTAACAAAAAAGAAAAAAAAAGAAGAAGAGAGAAACTAAGTATTAAAAAATTCATTATTTTTTCAATTCCATGGTTTACTTGGTCTTGTGATGTTGAGCATAAAGCAACACTGCCTCCCTCTGAATATTACACACACTGCAACAGGACTAGTCTAATCAGTGACTTCCAACTTGGTTTTCTTCAGAACCCAGTACATATATTACCATGAACTGCATAGGGAAAACAATATGCAAAAGTTATTTTGCATATTGTTTGTTTTGCAAATTGTTTTTCTTACATTTGGATAGTTTCATGTTCTCAGCAGTCAATCATTCAATGCTTAATACATGTGTCTGGCACCACGTTGGCATCGGTCTATGGATGCTTCTACAAAGTGATGGATGAATTTTCAGCAGAATGCTGTACAGCTTTCCTTGATTTAAAAATTGTTCTGCCTATTTTTTATGTATTAAATAACAGTCGAACTGTATATTCGACTGTTTTTACTGTATTTTATTATATATTTTTTAAATTATTCTTATTTCTTTTGATTATTTTAATGTATTCTATGTAAATCACTTTGAATTACCATTGTGTATGAAATGTGCTATATAAATAAACTTGCCTTGCCTATTAACGCATGGTTATAAGTTGCAACTAGAAAATACATTAAATACAAAAGTAAGATTAAATACATAAAGTATATTAGTGTTAACATGTTTAATCATTGCAGGTTTGTGAAATCTTGTGTGCATTTCTGTTTTTATTCATTTTGAGGAATACTGAATCTGTTTTTGTGCAAGAGAGAGGAGTAAGTGCATGCTTACACTTAGTCTAGAACTGCAATAACACAGCATGCACAATGCCTCTGCACTTACTCCTGATTTCTCTCAACATGGGGACAGGAGAGCTGTCAGTCAATAACTGGGAAAGCAACTCAGATATTTGTTGCAAATTCACAAAAAGTAATGCATTACTTTACACTTTACTTGAAAAAAGTAATTTAGTAACTGCATAAATCACATTACCCCTAAAACTGTCTGCGATCTTTTCAATTCAACAAAAATAAGGGCACATGAAATGTCTGTTGAATATACTTTATTTTATCGTAATTCATTTATAAAATGCAGTATTGCTCTAGTTTCAAATAATTTCCATGCATACGAATGAGTCATGACATTTTGTTCAGGGTAATTGCATTGCATTGATATCCGTCCTTGCAGTGAACGAGATAAGGATGAGGTAATTCTCCAATCTCTCTCTGCTTGCAGATTAAAGTTTCAAACGAACTGATTTCCTGAAGCAATGGGATGTGCGGTCAAGTGGTGTAATATGAGAATAATAGTCTCATGCAAAGGTGAAAAGGCACTGGCTGAAACAGGAGGTACCAAACCTCATTTTACTCGTGCTTCTGATAGTATCAGCCCTTGCAATACTATTCTATAGTATCACATGCATTATGGATAAATGACATGCCTTTTAGTGCATCACAGTAAATCAACATCTATTAAAACAGCATTTTTCCGTGTTGTCATGTTGCTTGCGGATTCAAAAAAGGCTTCCAAGTTCATGAGGATTTTCACTGCCTTAAGAAAGACGGATGGGGAATCGACTTTTAGAAAGTTTCAGTCTGAATCTCATTTTCAATAAAAAAAAAAATATTATGGGGATTCTTGTTAACTGCTTGATCAGATCAGGCACTGGATCACATCATACGAAACAGGCCCTGTTTACAAGAAACCATTTATGAGATTCCATCAGCCCTGATGCCCTTTCGATAATTTATCTAATAACACATCATGCATTTCAAAAAGTACTCAATGCTACTGGCTGGTTTCATTCTGATAAACTGATATGTGTGCTGCTCGGTTCTCTGCTGAATACATCCATCATTCAGACAGAGTCAAAGAGTCAAAGTAAAACAAACAGCATGACAGATACACAAACTAATCCATGCCTCAAAATCTTCCATGTCCTATGCATTTCCCTTCAGATCTTTCAGGAAACAACATGTCCAGATATAAAACAGCACTCAACATGCAGTAACTTAAAAATTTCAGTCAATCATTTTTTTAATCTAATTTATCTGATATACAAATATGGCTTTTTGAAGACTTGGATTATAGCTTACATGGCAAATTGAACACTTTTATGACGTTTTTTTTTCCCCTTTATGGTGGAATATAAATTAAATAGCCATTCACTTTCCCTTTTATTTTCATAGAAGAAAAGAAAATATGGTTTGACAAATATGGATGAGTAAATGAAGACAAAAATTTTTTCTTTTGTGGGTAAAATTGTGAATAGACAGATATTTCATTTATGTATATATTTATAGACATTTTAATAGCATCTCCTAATATGTGCCATCAACTGAAAACAAATATATGTGCTAATGTTTCATATATTTAAATAGTTAAATGTAGGTAATTATTACTGTTTCTTAGTGTGTATTGCTAATTGGTGCACATATAGAAAAATGATTAAATCCTATTATTCCTTGAGGTAATTTAGTAAAAAAAATATTATAAGAAATATGCACCATTGCTCAGTCTGTGCAACGTTCTTGTGTTTCATAATGATTCATGAGTATTTTTTACTTTTCAGTCTTGCTAGAAAGTCTAAATTAAATATGTACCGAAAGAAATATTTACCAATGCATATGATAATGTAGATAATTAAATTAAATTATATTTGTTTAAAAAGACATCCTTGTAGGAGAATATATAAAACATTTAACTGCATAATAATCAAGTGCAAAATGTCGCAATACAATTTAGAAGATTATAGGTAAAAAAATGCTGTCAGAAATATTCGGCTACAGTAACACATTGCCCTTTGGGAGGTGAAGGAACAAGGTAAAGGGAATCTAAATGCATAGATTTCATTTTCAGGGTTACAGTTTTGTTCTGAATCTCTCATCTCCGCTGCATGTGTTCGACAGAAGCCCACATCGAGTCAGTGATAGAGTGATCATATGCATGAGAATGTGATTTAGTTCAGTTTGTGCTGTTTATAGACCAGTCATAGGGCAGATAGCTCACTTTGACCTTTCCTTCTGACAGCAGAGACTGTAGATTCCTCTTCTTCTCTGACGATCCCATATGATCAAACACCCAGTTCAGCAGCTGAAAAAGAAACATTACAAGCTGATCAAGTCAAATATATCTTTAAAGAGGACATACAATGTTTTTTTACATTTTCAACTTTCTTCAGTGAGTAATGTTGCCTTTTGAGCATGAAAAATGTCATGCTCTTCAAAGCAAACAAAGGTCTATAAAGCACTCCAAAGGCAGTTATTCTCTATATTAGTAAACACTGCCTGAAATGACTCGATTGTAGTCTTGAGTCTTCTTCTGCAAATGCACACGTCGCGGTATTCCTCATTTAAATAATTCCCGCTTAAAGGGATACTCCACCCAAAAATGAAAATTCTGCCATCATTTACTTATCGATTGGAACCATACAGTTGTTTGGCACCATTGACTTCCATAGTAGAAAACAAATACTATAGAAGTCAATGGTGCCAAACAACTGTTCCAATCGTTCTTTAAAATATCTTCCTTTGTGTTCAGCAGAAGAAAGAAACTCATACTCAAGATGAGTACATGATGATGACAGGATTTTCATTTTTTGGTGGAGTATCCCTTTAAGGCTCAAGGCGAGGCCTGGTTGAGTTGCATTAGTATGATGAAACTTGCGCTTATGGAAAGGGGCATGACATTTACCAAACACACTTGCAGTGGTTGACCAATCACAACACACTGATCCAGCCAACCAATCAGAGCACACTGCGCTGGAAGGAGAGGCTTCATAGACAGACGAACTAAAGTGTTACTGACAGACTGGGAACAGAGGAGCTGCAACAATGAATTAATTGTGAATTCAAGCATGAAAAACCCTATTCTAGTAGACCCCAAAAACAAAATCAAGATGTTATAAAAGGGCATATTATGTCCTCTTTAAAGACAAACCCAGAACAAGCTCCCCAACCACTTGCACTGTATAGAAAAGAGCTAAATATCTCCTTTTTAGTGAAAGTCATAACAAGATGCAAGTAAAAGATTAATTTCCGTGTGAATTATCACTTATCATCTTCCATGTCCATGAATTGAGAGTGAAGATATATTTTAGTAATACCTTCTCATCAGTGCCTCCAAAGTCTTCCTTGTACCACTTAAAGATCTGGCTGAGTTTCACCTCTCGCCCCACGCTGTCAATCGCGCAACTGTCGTCATCCTCCAAGAACGCTTTTGCTGCGGTACGCAACTGACCATCAATGTCCTGGTGTGAGACATGCATGGAAATTTAAACACAATTTACTTTTTACAATGTCAGAAAGAATGTATAGCCATTTATAAAGCGTATTGTAAATGAGAGTCCTTTGGGGATTAACCTGTGGTGTGTATGTCTTAATTGGAGGGCAGCTCTTTGCACCACAGTTCAGTGCGAAATGAATGAGAGGCTCAACGTCAGGAAGCGCTACCTAAAGGATGACACACATTACTGCTGTTAAACACATTCTCTGATATCTTTTACTCCAGTGTTTCCCAGCATTTTTTGTCTCAAGTACCCCCCACAGTTTCAGAGCACCACTGTTTTGAGGTCATTTTTTATGTTTCTCTCTTATGCTCACCAAGGCTGCATTTATTTGATCAAAAATACAGTGAAAACAGCAATATTGTTAACTTAAAATAAGTTATTATCATCAATTTTAAAACAGTTGTGATACATTTTTGGGGATTATTTGCTAAATAGAAAGTTCAAAAGAACATAATTTGTTTGAAATAGAAATATTTTGCACCATTATAAATGTCTTTACTGTCACTTTTGATAGGTTTAATGCATTCTTGCTGAATAAAATTATTCATTCCTTCATAAGCATTCATTTTCGTAAATATTTTTAAATCTTACGGTCCACAAACATTTGAACTGTCTGGATATACTGGTATCATGCACATCAAATATATTTTTCTTTCTTTGACAAGTAAATGAATGTGTTTAGGCCAGTGTTTCTCAACAAGGGGGTCAATCGAGGGGGGCCCCGAATAATAAATAAATTGTAAATTATATTAACAATCTTAATCAAAATGCACAAAATATATATAATTTAAAAAACTAATAACATATAAATAAATAAAAACATTAAACTGAAATAATATTCTTAAATGTATTTATATTTATGAAATATACCATATAAGTACCAGAGGTACATTTTAGCTTAGACAGAAAGTAAAAAAAAAGGTCGAGAATCACTGGGTTAAGCCATTAATTACAAAGAAATTACAGTTAATTCATTGTTTTTAATCTTCTTAAACTATTTTATTATTTTGACAGGCCTAATATCTGTTGTAATTTCTGTTTAATTAAGTCATAATTTCGGTTTAATAAAACAAAACAAAATATTTCCAAATACACCTAGAAACCTGCTCAAGTAATTGTTAATAAAATTAAGTACGTTTATTGCAATAAATTACAGGCAACATAAAATCAGAACTGCCCTTTGACATACTGTAAGCAACTTTCCAACGAGAAACACTGCAAGTCTGCAACATAAATAATATTAACAATCATATTATAAACAAACCACCCATCCTCTTCCTGGGAATACCTGCAGTCGAGGGTCGTTCTTGGAAAATGGCTTCATGATTTGTGCCACACCTTTTCGATTTCCTCGAAGCACTCCGTTTTCAATATCTTGCAGCGTGAACACCTCACCACCAATGAGGTAGCTCACATAGTTGAAGAACTGGAAAAAAAGACAACAAATGTACAAGCACTGAAATAATTCAAATTTGTCCCCTATTTTACAATCCATTTTTCTCTTTGTGTCTTACCCGATACCTTTGCCATATGTTTTTGGGGAAGCCCAGACGCAGGTTCCCGTGGATGACGAGGGCATTGTAGATGTTGATGAAGAAGGCCAGTTTCTCTTCTCGACTCAATGACAGCAGATCCACGCGCTGAAGCTGGACAGCTAGATCACAGTACCGCTCGAAGTACAGGCTCCGGGACATGGCCTCATAATCAACTGTCTGGTCAAAAGTGGAGACCCACACGGTCACAATGACACATACCTTACTTATAAACACATAATGTGGTGGAACGCTCCTTCATTCAGACATCAAATGTCTGAGTGCCTGTAGTGTTCATGTCTGTGGCGAATCCATTGAGCATGGTCTTGCAGCTATTTGATATGCAGCCTGTGATGAGATGGTGAAACAGTGTGTTACCTTGCCATCTTCTGAGAGGTGATCAGAGTAGAGTTTCAGGATCAGATTCCTCAGTGCCTCCGAGAGCTCCCACGCTGCTTAGGGCAAATGTCACAAAAAAGAGAATAAAAAATGACTGAAACAACCAAACATAAAAGGCCAAAGGCGATATACTTTTAAAACAAGATTTGAGTTTCCTAAAAGAGTTACTAAAGTAGGGGTGTGCGATATGACGATTTTTAATCGTGGACGATTAAAATGTCTCCACGATCTGCTTTTGAAGAAATATCGTAGTATCGTCTTACAGTGCATTCTATCAGTTCAGTTCTGGCGCCCCGTCTCAACTGTACAACGCGACGTAGCCTACACACCACACGTGAATGAATAGGTATGGGACACTGCAATTCACAAAAGTTCATTATTTGCATAAGCCTTGCCGGTTAAACATTTAATTCACGCGCTGATGCGCTGTTCTAACGTGCGCTTTCCTGACCGCATAACCCCCGACGCTCACAGGCACTAGCAGCCTGTCAACAGCGCCAGAACACTGGACTAAGTTATCTTTCGAGTCTTATTATGCTAATACTGTTAAATACACAAAATGTTTACAAAAACAGGCTGTGTCTAAAGTGAAAGCAAACATTTGAGAGAATATCTGGTGTAAAATGCGTCCATATTAAACGCGTCGCGTGCTGGTCTAAAAGCGACAGGAATAAATAGTACTGCCGCATGTCCTTAAAGGGATAGTTCACAAAAAAAAAAAAAAAAAAAAAATCTGTCATTATTTACTTACTCTAATGTTGTTCCAAACCTGTATTCATTTCTTTCTTGTGCTGAACACAAAAGACGATTTTTTTTAATGTGGGTAACCAAACAGTTGCTGGTCCCCATTAACTTCCAGGAGAGAACAGGGGGACCAGCAACTGTTCGGTTACCTACATTATTCAAAATAACTTTTATTTTCAACAGAAGAAAGAAACTAATTCATTTTTGAGGGAACTATCCCTTTAGTAAAAGAAAAAAAAACACAAGGAGAAAATCACTCACTGACTGAGAACTTTAATAGTAGCTTTAATAAGAATCAATGTATTCAGTGAAGTCTATTTTAATTTCATATTTGTTTAATTTAATTACTTTCTTCAATGTTACTGCTAAATACACCTAGTGCATCTGAAAAAATAATGCACTATTTATTTAATTTGAATATTAATTTGTGTAATGTTTATCTTGTCTTATTTTTTTAATAACAAAGAAAATAATGACAAAGATTTTTATCTTCGCCACTGGCCTAAATGTGTGGCTTTCTTTTTTCTTTTGTTACCTAAGGCTTTGTTTTTAACATAGGGACATTAGTTTGGCTGTAATGAACAGCCACTTGCAAAATATTAAAACCAACTTGAAAAAGAATCGTGATAAAAAATCGTGATCGTGATTTTCCTAAAAAAATCGTGATATGATATTTTTTCCATATCGCCCACCCCTATACTAAAGCTTATAAGGCAGCAAAAGAACAATGTTAATAGTTATAAGCAAGTAAGTTTAGGTTTCGGTCTACATGTAATGCAGCGTCAGAGCCGGTTTACTGTTGTGGTGGCACTCAGTTAAATGATTCAAAATAAGCGAGAAAGACAAGACTAATCAATAAAAGAATGCAAATAGATTTAAGACAAAGGACCAATTGAAATTCAGTATGCAAGTATTACAAAGAAGTCCTTGTTGTCTGTGAATTCTGAACAACAATCAAGTTATGTAATATAATACATTTTAGATTTCTTAAAATATTTTATAAATAGGGATACACAATTATGACATCATAATTTCATCAAAAAGAGGTTGGGATCAGTGTTTTTTTCCGTCATTATATATATATATATTTTATTTTTTTCAACATTGATGATAATAATAAGAAACGTTTTTTTAAACACCAGATGGGCATATTATAAAGAATTCTGTGACACTGAGGACTGGAGTGATGATGCTGAAAATGTTAAAATCGTTTCAAAAATAGAAAACTTATTATAAATTGTAATAATATTATTTCACAATAATCCTGTTTCTATTGTATTTTTGACCAAATAAATTCAGCCTTAATGAGCATAGGAGACTTCTTTCAAAAATTTTTTACTAATCGTATAGACTCCAAGCTTTTGAACGCTATTAAATCAGATTTACATTGCGTTTGTGCAACAGTCATGTTAACAGCACATTTTGATGCACTGCATAGACTTTAATGGAACGCTGTGAATGACACTTGTCATGATTAATTCATCGGCGCACCTGTAACGGTAATCTTGATTATTCAATTTACATAATCAAGGCCCAATCACAAAAACTAAAAATAGATAGCACACTGAGAGTGTCACTGAGAGCATCAAATAATAATAGAAAAATAATGTTATTTTATAATAATATTTATGAATAATATTTATTATTATAATATTATAATTAATTATGGAGTATGTATGTTAAAAGAAGGCGACCATTTGAGCTTATAAAACTTTAAAAAATTATTAATATTTTTTTTTTTTTTAATGAGTGATCGTTTCGTTTGATAAGACCCTTATTCATCGTCTGGAATCGTTCAACAGTTTGGAGTTTGCACTGAAACTGTCTTTTGGACCTTGAACCGTTTACCATTAAAAAATCCTGGAATGTTTTCATCAAAAACCTTAATTTCTTTTCGACCGAAGAAAGAAATACGTGGACATCTTGGATGACATGGGGGTGAGTAAATTATCAGCAAAAGTTTTATTAAAAGTGAGCTACTCCTTTAAGATTACCTAGGAAGCCAGTCACTCTGTTTACTACATACTGTACCTGCAATGCTGAATGTTTACTCATCATTGACAGGGCAGCAAGGTTTCATAACTAACCCGTTTGTGGCTTGATAACAATTAATGTTAAACCCAAATAAATTCCTTCAGTGTTTTGAACTCCTTCAGTGTTTGAATGCAAGGATTTTTGCTAGTTTCCTTGGAGAAACAGCTGATGATATGGTTTCCAGTCACACATTTAGCTTTCAAGATCAACAATTTGCACATGGAGCCGCACTGAGATCCCAATACCTATTGGAATTAACCATGCAGCGCCTTAAAAATGAACCTTACAAAAGAAAAGTTTGTTAATAACCAGAATCTAAAAATAATTTAATGATATATTTAATACTTCTTGACTTGAGCTACATGAATCCAAGCTTTGGAAAAATAATATTTTTGGAAATCAGAATGGCATGTTCTATACAATTGTTTAGATAGAAGGAAATGACATAAAAGTTCTAGTTTAACATTATTTGCTCTTCAGAAATTCCTCTTTAAAAGAAAAAAAAAACTGTAAGCTGTATGCAAAGTGACTCACATTTGTTTTTTGACCCACTGAAAATGTGAACAAGTTAACGATTTACTCATGAAGCCACATTCCGATCCCCATATCTCTGGCATTGAACCATATAGAGCCATACAAATAGAAGATCCAAAAAAGGAAACATTTGTTAAGAAACAAAATCTAAAAGGATATTAAGATATCTTTAATTCTACTTGAGATACAGGTATGACAACTTTGGGCGGGATGCTTGCGGCTTGTTTCATTTTTGAACTGTCAGGGATACAGATTTTACTAACAGGCCTACCTATCTATGTGTAAAAATAAAAATATGATGCTGCCATCTTTCTAAAGTAATTTTTGTAACATTTCACACTACACACGTTTGGCACCGCAATGCAGGGTTAAAAGTGGGGCTAAAAACGATGATAACCCGGGGTTAAGCTCAGTGTGAAAAGCTCTTTTCAGTTCTAACCTCCATCAGCCTCAGTGCTATCTTCCACAGGCACAGGTGGAGCGTCCAGCGGCACAGGTTCCTCTCTTACCGACAGTACAAGACGTTTCAGCCTCTCAGGATTCTAAAAACATACACAAAATAGCATATTTTTGAGAGGTTCAGTCTCATTTCCTAGAAGCAAATATCAAGCCAGAGGTTAGTCAATAGCGAAACACTAGTGATGAGTTGATCATGAACGAACGGTCGTTTTGAACGAATCTTAAATATGACTCGGGAACAACGAATTGTCTCAGAGAGTGAGTTGTTCATCTTGTGTTGACGGTGCATGCGTAATATATAGGTTCTGTACAGCACACAGAAATTACTAGTTCACCTCCTAAGACTTCAGGTTCGTTCTTTTGTCACGTGACGTGACAGTCGTATCAGAAACAGAAATTAATACATAATTCCCAACTTTCCTTGCAAACAAACGTGTAGTTAGGTTTTTTTTTACTCTCAGTTAAGTGATGAGTTCTCAAATGTCTTACAATTAATAAATTAATTTTTGTCATTATGTTTAATTTCCATAACTTATGATGAGGCTCGAGAGGTGAACTCATCATCGTTTCTGGTACAGACTGCATAGCTTCAGCCAATGGGGAAGTGACATGACATGACAAAAGAAAGTGATTTGCCTTGGCTCCATTACAGTTGGCTATTAACATGTAACATTCTAATTATATTGAAATTAATGAAATGACTTGAAAAAAGATTTGTTAATTTTCTTTGAGAGACTCAAAGATCAGTGTCAATGAAATGATCTGGACATGGACATCCCATCACTAGAAATCCCACATCAGTTAGTTTCTTATCTCACCAGGTTCTGGAGGTCCTCGTTGTTTCCAACATAAAGGTTATTGAAGAATATCTGAGGTACGGAGCAGTGACCTGTGAGCTCATTCACTCGTGCCCTTATTTCTCCATGCTTGTTCAAATCCACCTCACACACAGGCACACCAAGTGTTCGCAGAGTAGCTTTGGCCTGTGTGCAGTGTGGACAGCCTGGCACTGAGTACACTGTTACCCGTCCCTTCATGATGGGCCTATCCTTCACCATCACAGCACCTGAAAGCTCAGAGTAAAAGCAATGAATCACACAATTTGAAAATGGTCACATATGAATTCCCTTAGCATTTCTAAAAAGATCTGGTGTCTTTCGAACTTACCTGGATAGTTGTTAATGACCTTAATCATTAGAGGCGAAAATCCTGCATTAAGAACAAATAATTATATAAAATTAACTTGCCTAAATTTAACAGCAAAAATGTTGCATGAAGTTGTCAATGTGCATAATTGCTAGAAAATTGCAAAATCAAACAAAGCAAGGTTTTCAGTTGTATTATAGTAGGCCTATAAATATGCTTTTGTCATTTTTATTAGTTTTTAAAAAACACTTCTACTTAGTTTTAATTTGTTTTTATTTCAGTAATATTAGTACTTAAACCTTTTTTTTTTTTCCCAACAGCGTTCAGGTTTAGGCTACTATATTGAGGTATGTTGGTCGTTGCAAAAATAGCAAGTCCAAAATATGAGTGGGGGAACATCTCATATTCAGACCTCACGTTGACAAATAATTTCTGAAGCCTCTCTGTTTACTGCTTGTTTGTTAAAAAAAAATAAAATAGACATTTACTTCCAGAATATTGTATACCCTATTTGAAAAAAGTGGCAAAAGACCTTTCTTTTTCCAAAAAATTAAATAAAATAAAAAATGACAATAACCATGCTTTCTGCCTAAATACAGTACCTTAATGTTCCCCCTGTAAAACCATAATACATTTATTTATTTTTATTTAATTCCACGTAAGGTTACTTTTAATCTGTTCTAACTTGACAACAGTGGTGGCTAACACAACAATAACAGACAGTGCAGTGGCTGTGCATTTTGAAGGAAACTGTAACGTAAATGTTTAGGAAAGCTAATAAAGCATGTATTACGCTATAATAACAGAGGAAGCGAATTCTGCACAATCCCAGATGACGAGGCCGACAATAATATTGCTGAAGCTAAAAATACAAACCTGAGTATCCACACTGCGTAACGTTAAACGTTTTTTTTTTTTTTCTGGACGTACCTTTTCTACCACCGTCAACGTCAAGACTTTGACTTTGTACACCGATGATGACAGGTACCCGGGTTTGCTGAGTAGGCTAATTTCGACTCGCTGTAGTGAGTAAACGATTGAACATCGTCATGCAATGTCACTGCGCACTTTCATGTTTTTACTCAGAGCAAATATATTCACCTACAGCTGCATGACTCTTGAATAACTGGGAGAGAATGAGATAGCAGGACAGGGCAGCAGAGGGAGCATCACCTTCCTTACAGTGAAGTCTGCACACAACAAACACAAGCCACATCAACGAGTCTAACTAATAATAATAATAACAATAATAATGATAATAATAATTATATATTATATACACAATAATCGATTATACACTTCAAAACATTTTCTTCTTTATTTTTTTAATGTATATTTAGAAGCATTGGCTCAATATAATTTGTAATAGCTCATTTAAAGAAAAAGAAAAAAAGATTTAAAAGTAGCTAATTGAATTTAAATGTTTGACTTCATGGGTGGAGTCTTTTATTTTGAAATATTTTAGTTTTGAAGTCTCGTGTTGTTTCGTATTTCATGCTACTCTTGTTGTCGTCGTCATCGTCATCATCATCAACATCGCCCCACCGGACCGAATGAGGAAGTGAAAGAGACGGTCGTCAAAGACAACGCTGAACGGAGAGTCGGTTGATGCGGTAAGACCTCCAAGGCTGCTTAAAATTAAACCAATTATATGTGGTTTTATATATTTGACAAATGGTCTTTTGCCATGTTATCACATCCTATTAATAAACGTGTTCTTCTAACGACCTAACGTTATAGAGGATGCGAGAGATCACACTAAATTATATGTAACTTATGTAGTAACGTTACATGTATTCGTCCTTTTCTTTGAATGTCATTTTGAGTTTAAATGTTTATGACCTGGTTTTGTTTTATTTTAGCCCAGTATCAGAGAGTTTTGTTTTGTTTGTTGTCGGTCTCCGGTTTTGGTTGTACAGTAACGTTACAGTCGCAACCACGTTACGAGTCACGTTATTTATGAGCTTTGACAGCTCAAACTCTGTAATTTACTAAAGATGATAATGTGCTGTATAATGTGCTGTAAATGAGCAGTAGAATGAACATGTTATTGTTTAACGATAGTTTAATTAATCTCTCTTTCAGGAAAACGCCTTTCATTCTTTCTAATTTTTTTTTTTTTTTTTTTTTTTTTTTTTTAGGATATAAGACGACGAAAAAGATTTTCGTAATGGGTTCTTGTGTCTTTCTGTTCACATACCAAGGTCCTTTTGCTCAGCGATGGATCTTGTGACCATATGTCTACAGGCATCCTGCCTAACATCTTTATGAGATTTACAAAGCAACTGTATTACACTCATACACACACAATACACAAGCATGGCACCAGTCCCACCTGGCATTCGCTTCCTTGCCTCCTTCAATAGAGACCAGTGGTGAGTTTATCTCTTTGATCAATGTGTATTTGGGATTGATGATCAGCAAACCCAGTTTTCCCTCAGAGAAATAATGTCCGTCATTATAATACCACAGTTCCAGTCTTTGCATGTTTGTTTATTACACATGAAACCTAAGTAGTGATAGTCTTTGTGACATATCAAGTAAAACGGCTTCTCGAACATGAAAAACGTTGATTTTGTTTATTGGAAATTCTTTGGATGGTTGTGCTTTGCAATTAGTTGATTATGTGAGTGGCAGGTTGTCTCGCCCTCACAACATTAGAGAAGTGAGGGAATGTTATTGTTATTTTAATTAAAGATTACAATGGCACAATGATGTGAATGATGTGTGCGGATAACTCATTTCTAATAATGAAGAATAGTCAAATTTAACTTCATATTGACTTTAAATATTTTGACAAATTTGACTGATTTCATCTGTCAGTAAATTAGTTAAGTTCAACATGTTTTAGCCATTCTGCACAATTCCACCAATTTTTCCACAAAAATGTGAGAAGAATTTTTAATTTTCTCTGGACCTGTTAAGCTGACATTAGCTGATATGTGCTGGAGAATAGAATAGAGCAGAATAGAACTCTTTTGTCTGATGTATTTAATTAAATACAAGCTTCAATACTGCATTCTGTAATTATTGCCAAACTAAGACGTCAGTCTTTCTGTTGATCTTAGTAGCTGTATGGTATGTACATATATACTTTGTACACGCCTCTCTGTATTTGATCAGTCTGATCTGTGTTCCATTGCATATCTGCGTCATCTACTCCATTTTAGGATTGATTGTAAAAAATCCGGTTTAGTGACTTATTTAAAAGGGACACAGGTGTGTTTACATTCCTGTGTACTGATAAAAAAAAAATTAAAGGACATTTCTGAAACTCCCTGCATGAGTCATCACATATGATTATATTTTATATAAATAGTGCTATTTTTTTTTTTTTTTTTCATTTTTCTCATGGTGGATATTAGTACATTTTAAGGTAAGAAAAAAATAAATAGCTGATTTAGGTAGATTGGTGTATTAAAGGGATAGTTTACCCTCAAGTTGTTCCAAACCTGTATGAGTTTCTTTCTTATGCTGAACAAAATAGAAGATATATATACTGTATGTATATATATAAATATATAAATGTCCGTATTGCTGTGTTTTCTATACACAGGTACAAGGCCTTCACGTTTGCTCTCACTTTCCTGCTCTACACAAGTTTCCATCTATCCAGGAAGCCCATCAGCATTGTCAAGGTAGCACGACCCCTGTCACATTGAACAAACTTGGATTCAAACTCTCTTATATTTAACTTATATGTTAAATAAACTGTAGTGTAGAGAAAGAAAAGAACTGAAATAAGAATCAGAATTCAGTTGTTGTTGTTGTTTTTTATCTCTGCAAAGGCAACATTATATTGCTCAGAGGTGGCATGATCAAAAGCTTTCGGCAGTCTTACTGGAACTCAAAGGGCCTTTTTGGGTTGTTTTCTGTCACACATTAACTCGCGTATCTGAGTATAATCCAGAAGTGTGTGGCACTCAGCCATCTAACCATATTGACTGAACCACATTTCTGTAGTCAGCCTTAATATGCAGACATGTCCTGTGTCAACTGTATGCACTGTCAGAGATGAGTTCATGTTGTGTTGTGTATGTCTCTATAGAGTGAGCTGCATAAGAACTGCTCTCATATCATGGAGGTTCCTACAGAGAGTGGCGGGCAGCCTAGACTTCACACAGAACTAGACTGCAGCTGGAAACCATTTGGTAACGTTATTTTAGATTAGATTCAAGCAATATCTGTTTCTATCACTTTCAGTCAGTGCATTAAATGTTTGGCATCTCTGTTGTTTCAATCCCCATAGACAGAAACAACTATAAGCAGTTGCTCGGAGCAATGGATTATTCTTTCCTGTGTGCTTATGCCATAGGCATGTATCTCAGGTAAGAAAGTGTACAAAAACACTAATATTTATGTATTTGCTTTAAAATGACTTAAAAGTGTGTTTGTTTTCCCTCCAGACCCATAAGACTTTTGTTTATCTTCAGATACAAATAATACATGCTTAACATGCAATTTCTTTATGAACATTTTGACCCATTAAAGTTTTGGTGGAAAGTTTTAATATTAACATGGATCCTAAAGCTCTGGGCTGTTCATAACCCTTCTTTTCCCAGTGATATTCCTCTGAGCTTTTCTCTTTTATACTGTCTCTCAGCCATCTCTCTTTCTACAGTCTTTATTCAAATCTCCCTCTGGCTCACTCTCTCTCTCTCCTAACCTATCATGAGTGGACACTACAAGTGTGTCGTGGCACGGCACTCAATCTACTTTCAACAGTGTATCTTAAATTGCTTACTGCACTTTTAAGGAAGAATTATATTCGATGTAATATAATGAAATAGTTATAAACAGCAATAATTATCAATGTATATTTTAATACATAAAAATGCATTATTAAATCAAAATTTTGAATGGATTTACTGAAGCAGTTTGAACTGACTCACCAGAATGAATTTACCAACTTGAACACTGTTTTTGCTTCTCAAGTTTAAATCTGAACAAGACCTAACTCTCTGAATTACTATGATGTCATTGGTCTTATCTTGAGCAGTTGAACTCTTCTGACAACAGTGATATGTTTGTTGTTTGCTGCCAACATTCTGTCTGCAGTGACATTTAATACAATCTTTTCAGTGGAATCATTGGAGAGCGTCTGCCCATTCGTCTGTACCTGACTGTGGGCATGTTGACCAGTGGTCTTTTCACCTGTCTGTTTGGACTGGGATACGTCTATGACATCCACAGCCTTAGCTTCTATATATTTGTTCAGGTTGGTGTCGTACATGAAGTCTCCCATGCTCACCAAGACTGCATGTATTTGATCAAAAATACAAAAAAACAGCATTATTGTGAAATATTATTATAATGTAAAATAACAATTTTATATTTGAATATATTTTAAAATATAAATTATTCCTGTGATGCAAAGCTGAAATTTCTGCATCATTACTCCAGTCTCCAGTGTCACATGATCCTTTTTACTGTCACTTTTGATCAAATTATCTATAAAAGAATTACCTTGCTGAATAAAGATGTTTGTTTCTTTGGAGAAAAAAAATCAGACTTTGAATGGTTGTTTATGTAAACAGCAATTATTATTTATGTACCATTTTGTTCAATTTTCATTCAGCATTCTGTCCTCTTTTTTTTCCCTGTAGGTGGCCAATGGATTGGTTCAGACCACTGGTTGGCCAAGTGTCGTGACTTGCATTGGCAACTGGTTTGGCAAGGGCAGGTATGAGGCTTTACTTTTTCCACTAACATTATAATCTCGATAAATCTGTCTAAACATGAGCATGCAGTGTTTCCGTTTATCTCAGACACTCAAGATGAGGAAATGCTTATCCGCTTTGCTGCTCTTTAGACATTCCAAAATTGTAACAGATCTCTTATTACCACATAATGAAATGTTATATAATGTGTTTTGATTTGTTGTTTTATCAGGAGAGGCCTCATCATGGGTATCTGGAACTCGCACACATCGGTGGGCAACATTCTGGGTTCTTTGATTGCTGGATATTATGTCTCCTCTAACTGGGGATTGTCCTTCATCGTCCCTGGAGTTATCATCGCTGTCATGGGGGTCGTCTGCTTCTTCTTTCTAATAGAGCGTTAGTGAATATAACCTCTGGCTTATTTATGTGTGTTTTGGTGCAAATTTGTCACAAAGCACTATTGGAGATGGTCGATGTCTTTCTGATGTTAACGCTTCTGTATCTTCAGACCCTAATGATCTGAAGACCGCCAGTACCCAGAGCTCAGCTCCAAGCAATCAGGTTAGTCCATTTATTTAGTTTCATTTCCTGTCCCATTGCTGTGAAGTTTGTGGTCAGATATATATATATATATATATATATACCTTCATTCATCAAGGATGCATTAAATTGTCTATTCAATTTTACCCCAAACTTTTAAACAGTTTAATTGAAGGCTTTGTTTACACAAATCCAATGTGGGCCTAAATCAAAATTGTATAAAATAATATTCAGAGAAAATTTTCAGAGAAGAGTTATACTCTTTCTTTTCCACTGGCAAAATAGTATTTTTAATTGTTTTAATGTCCCAAAATAAAATTTGCTTACTGTTTCCTTCAAATTCCTTCAAATACAATGGTATATTTCATAATATTGGAAAGAGCAAGAAAGGTGTTATCATTAGGAAACTGTGCCAGCACTCAACACCAACAGCACCTGCGTTTAGATCCATTAATGAGAGTGGCATATTTCATCTGAATGTGTATATCAAAATGAAAACAGAGTTTTTAGCTCATACATGGCTCACATATTTACGCCTAGTTCATTTTTTTTTTTACAATTCCTGATATGTGTGTGGAAAATTGAGGAAGCAAAGAAATGTGTAAGCAGTTTTCCATGCACATATTGGGAATTAAAAATAAAATAAAGTACAGACACTCTAGACTGTGCATACGCACTTTTTACTGGAGTGAGTGTTTTATACATTAGGCCCCTGGTGAGACTCATTTCAGAAATTCAGTGGATGTGGTTTGTGTTGGCTACTCTTAAAAATCAGATTTTTGCTACTGACCTAAACAAAAGAAGCCTAGCAGAGAGTCAAACAGACAATGCCTTGTCATCAACAATGAGGACAATGTTATCTTCACAGAAGTTAATGTATTTTCCCAGCAGTCTGAGGCAAGGTTGGTTAGATAACATGACTCATTCATGCTCGAAAGCAGTCGCTATGACAACGGCCCTGTGATGCGCACACCTGCGACTCTCAGTAGAGCGTGAGGGGCTCATCGAGCACAGAGAGTTCACATTTCTGAAACGCTTCAACAGTTTGATTGAGATTCAAGAGGAATGGCTAATCAGAAGTAACAGAGATATTAGGGATGGAGGAAGGGGTCACAGCAAGAGGAAATGTAGACTGACGTCTCATTTTGACTGTGGAGGAGGAATTATTTAAATTCAAGAGCAACTTCAAACACTTCGCAGCTCGCTGCTGCATAATTCTGGATTCTGTGTCATTGTTTACCCTAATTACTCTTGGTTTGTTTCTAAAGGATTCTTAAATATTCATAGCGATTAATTAATTACAATTTAGGAGGTATTACACTAGAGTATTTTGTCTCGCCCTCTAGAGTGAAAAACAAAAACAATAGAAAACACTTCCAGAGGGAATTGGGTCAATAATACTAACAGCAGATGCACCGATTGGAAATATATGCAAATATTTCGCCTTTTTTTGTATTTGTGTAACGAAAGTACACACTTTTTTCATTCTGTAACGTCATCTGTAATCACTTTTAATCAACTTTAGGATTTAAATTTTCTTCAGCCTGTGACAAATATATTTAAAAGTTGAAATATTCGTTTTCTTCTATATATTAGGAGCTTGTCTATCAACATGCCCAATAAAATGTCTGAATATCTTTAGACTTATTACTATATATTTTGAATTACATGTATATTTTCAGACCTATAACTGCATATATTCAGATTTATGTCTATATATTCATGATTTAAATTTACATATTCAAAGTTGTATCTGTATATTTATATTTGAATTATTTTCACACACATTCACTTTTATATATAGTCTTGCATACTCTAAGAATTCTAAGTTTAAAGTTAAGCAAAAATCACACAAGTAACCGAGTATCACACGATTCGAGTGCTGTTTTTGTCCCGAATAGCAAGAGTAAAGAAGTTAATATTGTGTTATATTTTCAGGCACAATATGGTCTATTTTTGCTCCATTTCGCCAACAAAAATATTACCTATAAAGCCAGCGCAGAACTGTTGTGCATCTCGAAACAACACACAACGTTGTTTTGCTTACTTATGAATCACGTCCATTAATAAAGAGAGCCATTTAATTAATTTCATGAATGAATCAGCCGTTTGAACGAATCAAATGAATGAATAACTTGCTCATAAAGAGTTAACCTCCACCTACTGGCAGTTTTAGTTTCTTATTTAGAGTATCATTTCATAAAAAAAAAAAAATATATATATTTAATTTTTTTTTCCATATTAATAAACACTCCAAAAAAATGTGTGCGTTAAAAATTTAATCGCTTGAGTTTTTTTTGTGGATAGCAAAATTACGTGTCACTACCCATGTGTCTTGTGTTGTTATTATATTAATACAAAATATTTAATATCTTAAATATATTCAGAATACGTCTAATCTAAGTGTTCCCTTTGTTGTCTTTAGGGATTGTTCTCTTTGTAAATGTGACACTGATCCCATATTATTATTTTTTTATCAGAAGCTTCATAAAAGCTGGAATGGTGTTAATGGACACAAAGACCTTTACTTGCAGTGCAAGCCAGGAGCTAAAGCACAGGTTAGTCCACATCATTGCCTCGGTGTATCTGTGTCACTCCTTTAGAAGTATCTCTTTTTCACTGTCCGATCCTCCTGTTTGTTAGAGCTGGGACACCGAGCTTCTGCTGGGGCAGGAGAGCATTGGCGTGTGTGTTCCCGTGCAGCAGGTGGTGGTGGTGAAGAGTGAGGCAGAGCCGTCACCCATCAGCTTCATGGGAGCTTTACGCATTCCTGTGAGTGTTACCCATCCATCTGTCCATCATCAGTCAGCGTGTGTCACAGCGTCACTGACGTTTCTCCCACTGTGTGTTTGCAGGGAGTGGTGGAGTTCTCTCTTTGTCTGCTGTTTGCCAAGTTGGTCAGTTATACATTCCTCTTCTGGTTGCCCCTCTACATCACTAAAGCAGGTAACTCTCACTGATGACATCAGCATTTTTCAGTCATTTAATTATTCTGTTCTGTTATATTTATTTCTGTGGTTCTTTTGATATAAAGGTTTTTATTTCGGCTCCCATGTTAACAGATTAGAGCTTGCACACTGCCTGCGTGACACGTGCAAATGCGTGCATGCTAGAAATAGAACCAGATGCCTATTTTCCACGCAACAAAAGCGTTTCCAGGCCAAAAAAAACGATGTTCATATGTCAAAAATTTCCATTATTTTTGCCTATATATATTTTCATGTCATTTTTTAAACAATCGAGTCCTGGTGTCCACTACAGAGGTCATAGCATAACATAGGAATAAAATATATATTGTTTTTTTCATTTGTTTCTTATGCTCTTAATAATGTAAAAAAAAAAAAAAAATCCCTTATTTTGGCTACGGATTCCGGGAAATCTCCCTTATTTTCAATGTTCAATGTTGACAGCTATGCTGTGTTTTGATGTGTTTTGTGTATATATTTGCACATTTTGGGATGTTGGTTAATATACTGCTGCTGTTTTGACGTATTTTTGTAAGCCAACCCAATAGGACTTTTCCCTTGGCATTTGGATTATTGCACAACTTTTGTGGATTTTGATGCCTAAATACAATAGGCAGAAGTAAAAAGCTAAACATAGGCTGTAAACAAATTACATTAAAGTTTCCAACCACTCTTTCTGTCTTTATTTAAAAACACATTTTCCCTGAAAGTTCGAGTTGGAATGGTCAGCAACAGAGCGATTATATACACATCGAGGCTGTGAAAGTGGACTAGTCAATAGATGAGTTTAGCTGTTCGGTGTGATGATGTTCAATGTTCCTTAAAACCTCTGTGGTACCATTTAGCCACCAAAATACATCATCCATGCAGCACTCTATATGAATCAATGATTACAATGTACTTCCTGGTTTTCAGCTCACCTAGATGCCAAGAAAGCTGGAGACCTTTCAACTCTATTTGATGTGGGTGGCATTGTTGGTATGTAGAGTTTTTGTCTTTTTTGTTTTAGTATTTGGAGTGGGCATTAGTAGCTGATTCACACACATCTGTAAGCATTTATCTGTTGCTTTCTTAAAAAAAAAGTGTTACTGTATGTCTAATAACACCCATAACAGACCAAACAATGTCTTCCTCATCTTGACTTGTTTGGGACACATCCCGCTTTGTTCTGCCCACTGCTGACCTTGCAAATAAAGCAGTGCATAGGAATGCAAACACACATTCTTTATCTATGTGTTTGTGTGTGTGTGTAGGAGGGATCTTGGCTGGAGTGATCTCGGATAAGATGGGAAAGAGGGCCACCACTTGTGCAGTGATGCTTCTGCTGGCCGCGCCCACAGTATGTAATTCTGTTGATCAAATACAGGGGAGCTTGTGAATTGAAAGGGTCTTTGTTGCATCTCATTTCTCTCACCATTGACAGTGGTTTGCATGTGTGTGTGTCTGTGTTTTTTTTTTTAATAGCTCTACGGCTTCTCTATGATTAGTCAGTTTGGCTTGGGTCCCACTATTGGTAAGACATCAAATCCTTTAAAGTTACATAAGAGAGTTTGACCCCTGTTGCTTTGATTCAAATTAGAGAATTAATGAGATTAACATATGATAGCTGATACCAGCTATGTGTTGTTATGTTATATATATATATATAGAAACACTGACACTACCATTCAAATTTTCTAATGTTTTTGAAAGAAGTCTCTTGTGCTCTCCAAGGCTGATAAATCTGATTCAAAAGTACAATAAAAACTGTAATATTATGATATAATATTACTAGTTATATTATACTATTTCTTCTGATACTAATTTGTATCTCCTCCTAAGAGCTTTAAATCTACAGCCACTAACATTTCCAAATTGTCATACTTTCACACATTACTCTCATATAGAATTTAAGATGTCTAAAAGCTTAACAACTTGGACAGTATGCTCAAACATGCTAGCAATGTGTTTAAAAATAATTGGATCATACTAGCAATGCTTTAAAACATGCTAGCAACACGATAAGACATGCTAGGATCTTGCTAGAAATGTGCTAAAACATGTTCGCATCGTGATTGATGTAAAAATATGCTAGCAGCATGCTAAATCATTCCAGCAACGTAATACAAAAATGCTAACAGTGAACTAAAACTTGTTTAAGACGAAGGTGCGCCAAGGATACACGTACTGTCTTCTGCATCCGATGGCAACTATTTGCAACTTTTGCTCGGGCTCCATCGTGCCCCGGACACGCACCTGTTCTGTACCGTGTGCACGGGGCTGCCCCATGCCGAGTCGGCCCTCAAGGATGGCGGGTCTTGCGAGCACTGCTTGGATATGTCCCTACAAGCTCTTAAGGCCATTCAGGACAAAGCTTGTACAGCAGCGTGGTTCGGGCTCACTGCCGCCGGTGGGCCCCCCCAACCGTGGAGTTGAGATAAAGCCTCTGGTGAGCTTCCCCGATGCCACCTTTCACCCCCCTCGCGAGTTTGCGGACTTTGTATCTATTGGGGTGAGTGAGGAAGAGGACTCCATGTCTCTGTCAGCCTCCGAGACTGACTGGGGCGCGGAGCAGACTCCTCCGGTCCTGGCAGCTTCGGAGCAAGACACCCCGTCGGATCTTTAGGACAAGCTTTTTCGCATCCTCTCCAAGGCCGTTGAGGAGCTGGACCTCTCTTGGAAGGCCCCAGATGAACCGTCCAAGAGCAAGGTAGACACGTGGTTCCTTCAGTCGAGCCGCCGCCAGGCCGCTTCGAAGAGAGGAACCCCGTCTTTTCCTGACGTACATGAGCATGTCGTGGGTGGCCCTGCAATCAGCGCGTACCCTCACTTCCAACCCAGGCCATGTTTACCCCGTGGACGAGGCGGGGGACCACGGCTACCTCTGAATCCCCCCCGTCGAGGAGACCGTAGCTGTACACCTCTGCCCATCAGCTCCTGCGCTGGGCTTGGACCGCAGCCTGCCGTCCAGAGCTTGCAGATTCACGGCCCACCAGGCGAACAAGGCCTATGGAGCGGCAGGGGAGGCTGTGTCTGAGCTGCACGCCATGGCCATACTTCAGTTGATGCAGGCAAAACTGTGAAGTCTTTGGATGGTGCCGCCTCTGTTGACACCGACACCATCCGGGATCTTCGTTCAGCCACAGACCTTGCGCTCTTGGCCATGAAGCGCAGGCGGTAAGGCCATTTAATGGGATTCACGGTGGTCCTCCATAGGCACCTTTGGCTCACCCTTTCCAACATGCAGGTGGCTGATGGTCGAAAGTTCACCTCTATGCTTTTCCTCCTGTGAAAATTCTTCCATTGTGTTCTTCCCAAAATTCAAATCAGGGAGGAGAGGTCAGCGTTAACGCTGGCAGCCACAAACTGGCCGAACCAACCATGGTTTGCAGACATAGTGGAGTTACTGGTGGGGCGTAACGTGGGAGATTCCGATAAGGACCTGCGGTCCCAGGCGAGTGGATCAATCTGGCATCCCAGCCCCGGGCTGTGGAACCTCCACGTGTGGCCGTTGCTGGGTCGCTGAGCAGGCTGGATGTGCTGCACTCGCGAGCCTTGTGTACTATCGTGGAGTCACTGGCCCCGTCCACCAGGTGTTTGTACACCCTGAAGTGGGGAGTTTTTTCAAAGTGGTGTCAGGATGTCAGCATTGACCCAGGGTGTTTTTCTGTGTCGGATATTCTGTGCTTCCTTCAGTACAGGATGGACGAGGGAATCCTTCCGTCCACTCTGAAGGTGTGTACCTGCTATCGCTGCGTTTCTTCCCCCTGTTGACGGGCAGTCTATCGGCAGACACATTGGTGATCGTTGGTTCCTCAAGGGAGCCAGCAGATTATGCCCAGCACGGCTGCCTTCGGTGCCGCCGTGGGATTTGGCTTTGGTCTTGGAGGCTTTGTCGTGTCCGCCTTTTGACTTATGATTTCTGCTTATGATTGCCTGGGGCAGGAATGCCCCCTTCGTGGGCCTGGACCATGGGCATGTATATTCAGGATTTATGTCTTGTGGCTGGCTAGTCTTCTCAGAACACGTTTGCCATATTTTAAAAGTTGGATATACCCTTGGGGGTGTCTTGAGTGCTTTCGGTGAGTTAATTTGTGTCATTGCATGGCATTTAGTGGGCTTATGCAATGACATTTACTCTGCGCTTGGTTCATGAGTTGTTCAATATGCTATTGTGTGCGTTTTTACTGTTGTCACTGCGATGCGTTGGCCTTTCTCTGACTGTTGTTGCCCTGTGTGCTTGACAGTGCAAACTCCCCCCGGATTTAATGCTCGGGATATGCAGATTTCGTCAGTGTATTGCGAGCATGCAATTGGTTTCTTTTGACCTATCAGAGACTAGTGGTTCGCTATTGGCCAACCGTCAGCCTATCAGATGCTTGCTCCCTGGGCGGAGGCAGTCTTGGTATTGGGTTCTGTTGTCAGTGGTATGTTATGCTGCCACGGCGGGATTTTATACAGTTCCCATTTATGGTAGTTCTATGATAGTCTTTGATAGTTCCTTGTGCCTCCAGGTTATGTACCAACCCTCTTGCCATCATTTCCTCATATATCTTTTTTAAAATGGAAAAAAAGCTTTGTTTTGTAAAGTGACCCTTTTCTGGTGTCATTTTATCAGTATGTTATTTGATATGGCAGGTATGCTGCTGGTGTGTGGTGGTTTAGTCAACGGCCCGTACTCTCTCATCACAACAGCTGTCTCTGCTGACTTGGTGAGTGTGTGTGTAGGAAATGCACTTGCATAATCTTTTGCTTATTCATGTGCCACATGCTGTTTCTCTCTGATGGATTATTTGATTTAACTCTATAGGGCACACACAAGAGCCTGAAGGGCAATGCCAGGGCTCTCTCTACAGTTACAGCTATTATAGACGGCACTGGATCTGTCGGTGAGTTCACTCAGTTCATATTCATGTTTTATTCTGACGCTGTCTTATGTAGAGCAGAGAGAGGTCACTCATGTTCATTTTGTCTTCTGCAGGTGCTGCTGTGGGTCCTTTGCTGGCAGGGCTGTTGTCATCACAAGGCTGGGATAAAGTCTTTTACATGCTCATGACCGCAGACTTTTTTGCACTTTTGGTGAGTCTAAAAAAAGCTCACTTAATTTGCCAGATAGTTAGTACAAATTTGGCTGTTCTTGGTACCACTTTTGGTACCATAGCAAACACGTTTGTAACATTTTGTATTTATTTAACTATTTTAATATTAAATATATTCAATAAAATTAGTTTTTAATGCTATGAATGATCATAAATAAATAATACATATTAGCATGTAGCCTTCAAAAATTGTTTAGTTAAATAAACATTACATTTAAAAAATCTAATGAAAAGTTAGTGATAACATGAAAATCAGCTAATTTAATTAAATGATTTGTGAGCATGCAGAGCTCACGCTAAACAAGCTGGCGTATTGAGAAGATTCGGACTCACTTAAACGCCTCTGATTGGCCATTGCATTCACTTGCACAACAAACATGTCTGTAATTGGCTACAATGCTCAACACTGCAAAAACACATAGTAAATAAAACCTTTGATGCTCTTCACAAAGTGCTTACACAAATACAGACAGGAGCGTTTGAAAGCTGCATCTATTAGCTGGTACCTGATTGGCCCAGTACTTACTGTCTAACTATACTAGCGGTACTGTATCATTGTGCTTTTCAACTTGATCAACCGAAGCATCTGCTACCAAAACATCTGCACTTTTGACAACCCTAATTGTGTTTGAATGTTCTTCAGCTTTTGCTGAGACTTGTGATGAAGGAGCTTCGTTCTCATAGGAGTCGGCCAGGAGCCGCTGTCGAGTGAGTGCTGTTTTGAGCTTGTACTTTATTACAGTTGCAAGTCAATGACTATAACAGTCAAATGACTTCCTATCTTTGATATAACTGTTTTTGTACCCCTTTTTAGAATGAAGGAACATTGAGTACTTTGCACTTTCTGAGCGAGAGAAACAGTGAAGGATACAAATGTTCATCTCTTACCACCAGTTGTTATTTGACCATTTCCTACCCTGGACCAAAACTTGACTGAAACCTCAGTTCATGGACTATACAAAGAGACATTTTATACCCTTTTTCAGATTAAAAAAACAAACATCGATTTAGGGTGACAGCAAAGCAACTTTGAGGAAATATTTTCTTACTGAATATTTTCCCTCAAGATCATAATGGACATGCAGTCTGGACCTTGCAGCTCTAATTGCTTTTGTGCCCGAGCAAATGAACATGACTCAATGTGAGATCAAGCCTAAATATCCCTCCAGTTAAATAATGCACAATTGCACAACCAAAAGTAGCCTCTCTTTGTTGCTAACAAGGGGATTTCTTAAATAGATGCAGTAAAATTTCTACTTCTAGACCCTGCCGGGCACACAGTGCCTTCATTAAACACGCAAGACAAATGTCCCTGTCAACAGTTCATGAATCCATTCTTGCATGATTTGAACAGAGCTATTTATGTAAGAATGGTATATGAAAATATTCAATATTTACACCGAAATTTGATCTGCTCGTGTTTAATAAACTAGGCCATTAGTATAGCTGGTTATCAGTTTATGTATGTGTATGTATGCTAAATCTATACTATATTATTATTCTCATCTGCCTTTCTATGAACCAAAGCCAATCTTGTCAGTCATTGAGAAATGTTTTTTATATATTATTTGAACTGTTCTACGAATGATATGACATGGAGGTGGAAAAAATATGGGATGGGGGGGATGCTTTTGTGTTCCCTAGCAAAAGTTTTGGATGCCCAGAGAAGCCGTCCTTCAGGAAACTTTGTGTTACCTCGCGAAGAACTAAAAAGTTTCGCTACCGAACACAATGCAAAACATTTGCGAAAGAACGCGAAAGCATATCAACATAGAATTTTTTTCTTCCCATCTCAAAATATTTTTCATCGCCATGAACCATATGTGGTTCTGTTGTCTTACTGTGGTGACGTCAAAGGTTCTTATACTGTGTTTGTAAAGGAGATCCACTAGGTGATTCAGCCATATGACAAATTATTATTGTTATTTTTTTCTATATTTATTTATTTTTTTGCTATGAGATCAGGGATGTCCAATCCTGCTTCTGTCCTGCAGAGTTTAGCTCTAACTTGCCAGAACACACCTGACTGGAAGTTTCTAGCAACCCAGGTAAGAACTTAATTTGTTCAGGTGTGTTTAATTGGGGTTGGAGTTGAACTCTGCAGGACACAGGACCGAGTTTGGACACCCCTGAATCAGAGACATTCACTGCTGGCCTGTGACTTATTGAATAATCACTATGTTATGAGTTATTATTATTATGAAAAAAAATAATAATTTGTTTTTATCTGACCACTGGTTACTATACATTCATATACAAACATAATTCAAGCTGTTCTATATGAATAATACAATATATATCAACATTCTTATTTGTTTTTTTAATCTGTAGGATAAAGTGTTAGATATTTAAAAGCACTTCTGTTGTCAGGTTCAACATGTTCACATCAACGTTCACGTCTGTATGATATAAATCAGTGTGAGCGAACCAAAAGAGTCTCCTTGACTGTAATTGTATGTGCGCATTTAGGACCCGCACCTGCCTCTGCAGCTATAATTATTTAAAGTGTCTATTTGAAAACTGTGGTATTGTGTCATTCTGCAGAGCTAGAGGCACATGTAGATGTTTGCTGTAAAGCTGGACCTCTTACGTAATCATGCGTTTAGCACGTGTGCATTTGACCTTATAGGACAACATACTCTAGGTGATTGAATGTATCTATATAATTTATGGGTAGTACCTTGTTGTAATGAGAGAGAACACATTGTGCCTTTTTTTTCTATTTGCTTTTTTTTTTTTTTTTTTGTATGGGGATTTGTCTTTTGGAGTGTTCATTTTTAAGTTATTGACAGCTAATTTTCAGAATCCTGTGGAACAAATTTGGGAATTATCTGTATTATGTTGCTGTGTGTACACATAGGATATTTTGAATAAAGCAGACACAAGGCATGAAATCTTTCTTTTTTTGTGACGGTGCAAACAACTACACACACTATGGACAAAAATGATTGGGACACACCACTTCATTCTTGAATTCAGGTGTTTTAATCAGACCCATTGCCACAGGTGTATAAATATAGCCATAAATAGGGCACTATTTGAGGAAACAGCCATTTGTAGTGGTGTCTGAGTGCACTCATTCAATCCCACAATGCACTGCAATAACGAGAGTACAACCGATGTATGCTCAACGATTAGAGAATGCCCATAATGCATTGTGAGAGTCATGCCGAATGAATTCTTGCGTCCGCAGCAGAATCATCCATACATCCATTCATTTTACAAACCGCTGGTCCAATGTGGGTACAGCGTAATTTCAGACTGGTAGACTGTAAATTCCTTTTTGATTGATTATTAAGTTGTTTAAGATTTATATAGTTTCCATGATTGGTTCACTACTGGAGCTGCCAGTTTGCTAAGTTTCAAATGATTATTTAAGCCGCTAGCAAAAACTGAGACATGACCTCAACCCCATCCAACATATTTGGGTTTAACTGGAATGGAAATTGTGAACCAGGCCTTCTCTACCAACATTGTGCCTGACCTCACAAATGCTCAGGATGAATGGGCAAAAATTCCAACAGAAACCCAAAATATTGTTGAAAACCCTTTTCAGAAGAGTGGAAGCTACTTTTTACTAAATAAATTAATAAATGACCAGTCGAGCTGTAGGTAATAAGATATTATTCAGGCACACAGGCACTTGTTTAATCTTAAGTCAGTGTGAGTCATCGAGTGCTTTGAGTGTCCATGTGCAGGTGATGTCATCAGTGCACACATACACAGACAGGTGGCAGTCAGTCAATGACAACAAAACAGATACAAATACAGAGTCTATGTTTGTAAGGATAAGTATTCCATGGTGGGTGAATCCATACATGAATATAATTGAGCATAATGAGTGTGTTTCAGAGCTCGGGTCATTACAGTTTAACGGATGATTCATTTGATTTGCCACAGGGAATCACACGCTTCCCCTGAATGACTCCAGCGCTGAACCCCGTCTGTTCATTTTGCCACCTCATCGCCCACGACTCACTCACCTTCATGAATTCTTTATTCTGCCATCATGTGTACCAGAAGTTCTCAAATTATGTTAAGCTCCCGTTGTGCCTTTTAAACTGAATAAAAAATGTATTGCAATTTAAAGATGTTAAAGGCCCTCATGTAGTCAATATTGTATCCCTTAAAACTCATTTGACCAAAATGACATATTTAAACTTTTTTCTTCATGCCTTAAAAGAGTTTGAATGCAACTCTACACCCTTGCCTCATTTAGTATACACAGTATTCTATGAATATGCAAATTAGCCCCGTCTCCAACTGTTGATGATCACACGTTGACCTTTTTATTTTATTTTATTTTTTATTTTATTTATTATACATGTAATAAAACAATAGATACACGTGTTTCACATATAATACTCTAATATATTTACAATGTGTGTTAGATAAAGGCACATTTGGAAAAAAAAATGTTGCACTTTCTCAGTAGGCTAATAACATTTTGGAATGGCATATAGCCTAAATTAGCAATTTTTTGTGGCAAAATCTGCAAATAAAATAACTTAAATTACTTTCACATTTACTTTTACTTCGTAGCCTATTAGAAAACGAACTAATATGCTTGTGTCTTCATAAAAATATGCAATAAAATTGAGAGTTTAATATTTCAACCATAATAGACATACAGCTGCATGACCCTTTCACACAATGGATCCTCGCGCGTTCTTGTAGGGCTCGGTTACTATGGAGATCATAAGGAGAGCGCGTGCGTTTCTTCTCTTTTTTGCGCGTGCACTAGTGGGAGTGAAAGGGGGGCGATGAGTTGAGAGATCACTGGCAATGAGCAACACGGTCTCTGCGTTATTAAATCTCTTCCATTCCATATAGAAAGAGTCATAACTTTATCTTAGGTCGGTCACGGAGGCACTGCGCGGAAGCCGGTAGTCCAGGACCGCGTCCGGAGCGAGATGGGTAGCGCGTCTTCGGCGTATCGGATGATATACCTGGACGTGGATGGACGGAGTCAGAAGGTAATACTCGCTCGAGTGACGCGCAACTCTCACCACATGCATGGCATTGATTGTGTTGGGGAAGAGACTGCGCAGATTACAGAATGCACTGTTTTTCGAAAGTTAAAAGCTCTTTTATTATATGTTCATTCATGTTTATGTTTATTATGGCCCTTTTTTGCTAACTGAAGGAACTGAACACAGTGATTGCTGTAAAACTGGTTTGTTGTGTGTAAAGGATTTTGATTTTTTTTCTATTCTCTTTTGGTAAATTATACTAATTATGTGCAGTTATTTTAGGCCTATGCACACACACATATATTATGATAAAATTATCTATAATATATAATGAAAAGTCAGACTAAAACAAAGTAAAAATAATCGTTGGAAAAAGTGTCTCTTTTTAATCTCTTTGTTTTGATAGGTTTATAGCAGCTTTACAGATTTAAGTCCACATCTATTCCAGTCATCTGTTATCAGAGGTGACTGTGTGCAAGTTATGCATTTCAGATATGAACATATACAAATCACACAGCTAGTTATGTATTAATTTAAGGCAGAAACAATGATCTTATTGAAGTAATGACTACATGTTTGTTAAATGATTAAGGTATAAAAATGTAGCCTTGGTGCATGGTAAAATCTCCCCTTAAATCTTAAATCTCCCCATTACAATGTGCAATTTAGCACTTATTAAGATATTCGCTTAAAGAGTGTTTAAAATCTAAAGAAATTTACTTTGAAAACTTACCTTTTCAAAATGGAAAACCCAGAAATGTGCAGCCTATATGGCTCTTGAAGATTATTGATGTTACATAAATTCTGTTTTTGTGCTGCGTCCCAATTCGCCTACTTGTACTAAAGTATGTAGCCTACTGTTTTTGTGAATAAAAGGTATGCTACATACTTTTGACCATGTACCAGAATAGTAGCAAGCTTTGGGATGTACAACATCATCATAATTGCGCCTTTAACGAACAGCTGTCGATCATATTGTCTCAATTAAAGTCCTCCACATTGAATTAAATTTAATCTCCTAGCATGTTGATCTGCCAGTCATGGTCTTTCAGGTGGAGTCTCTCCTCCGCAGTTTGCATAATGATGCATTTAGAAGTTAATGACCAAACGTATCTTTACACAAGTTCACAATGCTGTTTCAGATGAAATATAATGTGGATAACATTGAATAAATATCTTTTCATCAGGTTAGATCATTATTCACTCAAAGCCATTTATCTAAACCTTTACTTAACGGTCAGAATCTCACATCTGTCATGTATAGTTGGAAAAAGCAGACCATCCGGGTATCTTTTGAATACTTATTTCAACATACTACGATTTTGGACACACTAATTCTAATTTGTATAATATTTAGGATGGATATGCAAATTGGGACGCAGCAATAATGTATAATTTTTCACAATTTTCACTGATCTGCATTTGTGAATTGCACATTTCCTCTTCCACTGTTTCTCACACACTCTTTTTTTTATGTCACCCGCTTGCCTTCATAAAACATTTTATTAGTTTTTACACAGTACCCTATATGTGATGCTTCGTCGCGTCATAAAACTCAGCAAGTATCATGTTTTCTGGAGTCTGTCTCACTTCTGTCAAGAGGTTGTAAGTGAACAGCTGGTCTGGTTTCCTTTAAAAATGTTTCTAATTAAATAGATAAGACATGGCTCATATATAATCAGATAATTTACAGGTATCCAAGTGACAGTCAGTTGTTATCATCTGACTGCTGTATGTTTGTTGGTCACACTTTATATTAAGTGACATGTCTACTACGGCGTTTAATTGCACTATAAATTATCCTGTTAAATGGGGGAAAATATTACTGTGGTTGCCAGAAATTCACTCTAAAAATACATTGACAATATTTCAGGTATTAAAGGATGACATACTCATCTTAAGGATTATTAGGAACACTATACTAATACTGTGTTTGACCCCCCTTCACTTTCAGAATTGGCTTAATTCTACAGTACATGGCATTGATTTAATAAGGTGCTGAAAGCATTCTTGGTTGGCCCATATTGATAGGATAGCATCTTGTAGTTGATGGAGATTTGTGGGATGCACATCCAGCTCCTTTTCCACCACATCCCAAAGATGCTCTATTGGGTTGAGATCTGGTGACTGTGGGGGCCATTTTAGTACAGTGAACTCATTGTCATGTTCAAGAAACCAATTTGAAATGATTCGAGCTTTGTGACATGGTGCATTATCCTGCTGGAAGTAGCCATCAGAGGATGGGTACATGGTGGCCATAAAGGGATGGACATGGTCAGAAACAATGCTCAGGTAGGCTGTGGCATTTAAACGATGCCCAAGTGGCATTAAGTGGCCTAAAGTGTGCCAAGAAAACATCCCCCACACCATTACACCACCACCACCACCACCACCAGCCTGCACAGTGGTAACAATGCATGATGGATCCATGTTCTCATTCTGTTTACTGTTTTTTCTGACTCTACCATCTAAATGTCTCAACAGAAATTGAGACTCATCAGACCAGGCAACATTTTTCCAGTCTTCTACTGTCCAATTTTGGTGAGCTCTTGCAAATTGTAGAAAAAAAAAAAAATTACCAAAAAATTAATTGCAACAAATTAGTGTGCTTTGCATACATTAGAGTAATATCAGTGTTTTGTTCTATGACAAATGCGCATCTGCTTGCCGTTGTTCAGTTTTGGCTGTGGGACAAAAACAAAATAATCAGCATATAAAAGCCTAGAACACAATGAAAAACAAAAGGACATTTTAATGAGTGTGTATCCACTCCACTATCCACTCACACCTTCTGCACACACACTGTTTACAGGAGAAGTGGCAAAATATATCACGTCTCGTGTAACTGTATGTCTTCAGGCCTTTTTCTAAAATCTCACATAGTCCCTTGAAAATTCTAGAAACTTAAGCTAATACAGCTT